CAGCCTTGACCTGCTGGGCTCCAGCGATCCTTCCGCCTCAGCCTTCCAAGTAGCTGGAACTACAGGCACGCGCAACCACGCCCAGCTAATTTTTGACTTATTGTAGGGATGAAGTCTCACCAAGTTGCCCAGGTGGGTCTCGAACCCGCGGGCTCAGGCAATCCACTCACCTCAGCCTCCCAAAGGCGCGGGATTACAGGCTGAGCCACTGAGCCCGGCTGATAATTTTTTTTTTAAGAGTATGAATTCTGTTTTGTTTTTTAAATTTTATTTTAAAGATGTGGAGGCCGGACTCGGTGGCTCAGCCTGTAGTCTCAGGATTTTGGGAGACTGAGGCAAGTGTATTGCCTGAGACTGCAGGTTTGAGACCAGCCCGGGCAACTTGGCCACCATTCGTCTCTACAATAAATGAAAAAAATTAGCCAGGTGTGGTAGCGCGCACCTGTAGTTCCAGCTTCTTGGAAGGGTGAGGTGGAAGGTTAGCCAGAGCCCAGCGTGTCAATGCTGGCGTGGTCGTGAGCCTTCGTGCCTCTGCACTCCAGCATGGGCAACAGAGTGAGACTCCAAGATATGGGGTACAATTCAGGGTTAAGTATACAAATACTCATTATGCAGGTACCCTTGTTGATGAGGTGTGCCACTCCCCGCCCCCCAACAGTTTCCCACTATAATTTTTTGATTTATGTAGAGATGAGAACTCACCAAGTTGCCCAGGCTGGTCTTGAACATTGGACTCAGATAATCCTCTTGCCTCTGCCTCCCAAAGTGCTGGGGTTACAGGCATGAGCCACCGCACCCGGCCTGGCCGGAATAAGTTCTCATATTGTCTCTGTGAGAAAAACAAAATGTATGTCATTAAGGCAGTTTTTAAAATGAAATATTGGCCATTACCTTGCTAAGCTATGGGTGGCCATGTGCTCTTTGAGGTATGGCCAGGCCATGTTTCCTGACTTTGGCCCCCTTCCCTACCTTGGGAAGATGAATCTCCTCTTTCTCTAGTTTACCTTCTAAATATAGCGTTGACCACCTCCCCTACCTTGGGGAGGTGAATCTCTGCTCTCTCTCTCTCTAACTTACTTTCTAAATAAACTACATTTTCCAAACTAAAAATAAAATCAAATGAAATATTAATATTTTTCTCTTTGTAAAATAGCATTGAATCAAGGATATTTTGTTAATTAAAAAAAAAACCAGGTGCAGTGGCTCACACCTGTAATCCCAGTACTTTGGGAGGCTGAGTTTAGAACATTACTGAGTCCAGGGATTCAAAGCTAGCCTGGGCAACTTAGTGAGACCTCATCTCCACAATAAATCAAAATTTTGGCTGGGCGTGGTGGCACGCATCTGTGGATTCAGCTACTTGGAAGGCTGAGGCAGAAGGATCACCTGTGCCAAGCAGGTTGAGGCTGTAGTGACCATGAGTATGCCACTGCACTCCAGCCTGTGCAACAGAGTAAGACTCATACTCAAAAAAAAAAAAAAAAAAAAAAAAAAGAAAGATT